ACAAAATATTTAAGCATTAATTAATTATTTCACCCACGATAAATCACCAAAAATAGTACTTTAGACGTAAGTTTAAGTGTTTGCCGTCTTAACAAAAAGAGCTTATCTTAACTTCAAATTTGATTTTTGAGCTCCCAAGAGCACTAGTTAACAATATTTATTTTAATTTTTTCAACCACAAAAGTGAGTCACGTAGAATTTGTTTATCATTTCAGGTAAGTTTTAAACTCTTAAACCCAACGAATTTGTTTTGCTAATCTCTTCTAGGTTTTAATCTTGATGCTAAGCAAGCTCGCAACATCAAAGATGTTACACGATGGGGCACTCGTGACAGCCGACATTGAGGAGGCGCGACGCCGGGACGGGATCGCGGAGACGCGGCGTGGACCAGGCGGGGTCGTCGGACGTGGCGACGGGACGCAGGCGCTCGACGGACACCTGGCAAAGCGAGGCATGGGTCTGGACGTGGACGCCCTTGGCCGTGCCAACGACGGTGAGTGCCGAGTCTGAGAACTGCGCGGTGGCGGTGACCTCAGGGAGGGAGACGCGCAGGGACGCGGCAAGGTCGATGGAGGGGACAGCGGCGGCAACGATTTAGACGCGTGGGATGGTGCCGAGGACGGACCAGGACGGGCGCGGAGGCCCGAAGAGCGGATCGGAGTTCCCGGTCTCAGATGCGTCGTACGGAAACGCGACCGACAGGGCTCGCTCCATGGCATTGGCGGGGGCCAAGACCAGCTGCTTGGTGGCATGGTGGCCACCGCCGAGGAGCGTGGTGGCGTCCGGCGTCGTCACGATGTTGTAGTTCTCCCAGCCGGAGATGTCCCAGACGAGTTCCCCAGGCACGAGACACGGGTCGGAGGAGTCGAGCATGCGCGTGATGTTGTAGCCCGTGATGGAGACACCCAAGACGAAGGCGAAGGTGAGGACGGGGAGGCCTGAGATGATGCTGACGTCGCGGATGCACTCAGGGCGGAGGGCATCGCCGGCGTCGGTGTTCGGGTGGAGCACGCAGCTGCAGATGAAGAGCTTGTGCTCCTCCCGGATCTCCAGCGGTTGCGGTAGACAAAGCCGGCGACGGAGGAGGAGAACTCGAGGGGGTCCCCGAGGTGGACGAGGACGGTGCCACGCGCGGGCTCGAAGTCAAGGGCGGTGGCCTCGAACTGGGTGCCGTGGAGGCCGTCTACGACGATGCGGACCACGACCGCGACGCTAGAAGATAGGGCCGTGGGCGGATCCAGCGCGGGTAGCGAGGAGAGCTTGGCGGAGAGGTGATGCACGTCGGGGAGTCATCGGAAACAGGTTCGAGGGAGATGGCGGCATGAGGAATTTATGCCCGGCAGAGCGGATCTGCCCCCTTTAATCCCCATCAACTCGAGCTGCTCGGACGCAAGGCGGAGTGACTCCTAGGCGAGCGGGCGGAGGGTCTGGTCAACGATGAACTGCGTGACGTCGGCCTTGAGCTCCTCCTTGAGCTCTGAGATGTGGATCTGGATGGTGGACGCGAGCCCCATGATGTCGTCGTCGACGGATGGGTCTAGACTGCGCTCCTCCGAGGTGTGGGCTGGCTGCTCGAACAGTCCGCCCTAGTTGTCGGCTACGATGCGAGCGTCGACGGTGAGCTTATCCTTCATCGGCGGAGGCAAGGACGAGTCGGGGGTGGCCGGCTCGTAGGCGCGCTCTCCCCGGACAGGAACATGCTCGAATAGACCACCCCAATTGTCGGTGACTACCGGCACTTAGAACTGCGGCGCAGGGCTCCTCTCGAGGGTGTCAGCATGAAGCTTGGCTGCGATGCCCCGCTGCTCCAGCGCGGCCATGGTCCGCGAGAAGCGCCGCTCCATCCGAGCGTCGAACTCATCGAGCCTCCTGAGGATCTCGTCGCATGCAAACTTGAGGGATGGATCCATGGCGGAGTACCAAATCGACGGCTCTGATACCAGATGTTAGCAACCCAACTAAGATTCCCCTTTTGTACCAGGTACATAATACTAGGAGGAAGATGAACAGTAACTAAAGATAAAGGTAATTGCTGATAATTTGGTTGATGATCATTGACCTCCACGGATTCCCCTTTTGTAGACACCACTGCCAGGCTATGCTGGGCTTGGGCCCACCTGTCCGGTGATCCCTGACATGCTGCCCCTTGCCATGGCCCATGGAGGAGGGCAGCGGCGGCGAGCATCTTTTACAGTTTCAACTTGTCATAGTAGTTTCTTTAATCTGTCTAGCATGCATTTAAGATGCCTTAGATTTCTGTCACATATACACTCACTCACATGGTGGTTAATACACCATGGATTAACTTTGGTTCATCATAAAATTACAGACCCTTAATAAGCTACTGAACAGTAAAACAAATTTTGCATCAAATCTCAAATCACAGTATGCATATAACACGAAAGCAACATGTTTTTCCTCTCATATGTTACCTTATTATACATACAGCCTTTTTGATATAGACCTCTACTAACAACTTGCTAGTAGGGGATGGAGGACTAAAGGGTTATATTGCGGTGTGGTGGTTCTCCCTATTGGCGTGTCTCCTCGACAGTGAAACGTGAGGTCCGAGATTTTGAAAGTCACCCTAGTTTTTATTCTTTTTACATGTACTTTTGTATTCACATGTCTACAGTTGCCTCATTTTCTAATCCTAGTAGCCCATTTTGAATTAAAGTTCTGTTTGCCACGTGCACACTATGCTGATGTGTTTTGCGTCGTTGCCTTCCATTTATCCATTCATTAATTTGGATCAGTTGTTGCAAAGTCATTATGCATGTACAATATGTCCTTTGGTAGAGAATTCTATACATATATAATCTTTGAATACATACTGGCCAGCTAATTGAGAGGAGCGTGAGTTGGTCAAGAGGTTAACTCTTTCTTTCGTCCACTGGCTTGTTTCTGCACCGGAGGATAAGAAAACCATCCATTTGCTGAATTTTTTTAGAGTCAAACATATAAATACCTTGTAGATTTTGCCAACCTACCATGTACAATTGTCCTTATACTAATGCCTATATGCTAATATTCATTTCACCTTAGTTGCTACTGAGCTATCTATACATATATAGTATGATGGGAAATGCTAAACTGTACAACATCCTTAAGTAGAGTACTATATGTGGAAATAAAAAATAAATAAATATGTGATAGTGGAGGAGTACGATTTGATGTTGACATGGCCTCCTTTTGGCAGATTAGAAACCATCCATGATTCATTTGACGCCGGCCAAACAACTGCAATTTATATCCTCAACATATATAGCGCACATGTACTTAATTAGTCGGATTGGCTTATGCAACTTCAAATTTTTTTATATCACTTAAACTATCCTAAAAATCCTAGGAACCCTTATATTACTATTTGGGACATGGAGAATAATCTGCAAGAGAAAGAGAAACAAAACTTACATTTAAACTCTATGATGCAAATAGTAAAGATGTTTGAGGCGAAAATCGTCACACCATATATACGTGTCAATAGAATTTGTGTCCTCTAATTGAAAAGCAGAATTTGTTGTCTATAACGAGAAATGGCCGATGATGATAGACATTGCTTCAGCTGTCTCTTAGGGAAAGTAAGAGACTCATCCGGTATAGTGTGTGTGTATATATATATATATATATAGATAGATAGATAGATAGATAGATAGATAGATGGATGGATAGATTGATACATAGATTGGCTGTATATATTTTAGGTGCCTGTAGTCATGTACACAACCTACATTAGTTGTCTACTAGAAAGAGATACTCCTAAATAAGAAACGACTTGTATTCTGTCTTTGTAGCAGTAAGATTTTGCTTTTGCGGATATGAGGCTATCTCCAACATGAGACCTATTGCGGAACACAAACAAAAAATGGGTCTCCAATACAATACATATAGCTTCCAACAGAGTACCTATATAAAAAACTCATTTTAGGTGTCAGGAGAGGCATAACACAAATCTGAGTATCCTCTCTCATGGAGACCTATTTATAGAAAGAGTTGTCTTTTAGGTCTTATTATTGGAGAAGACCAAAAATAGATATTGAACCATTTGGCTGTAACGTTACCCAAAGAACAAATATGTCTTGTATTTTGGATTGCGTTTGTTGGAGACACTATGCTATTGGTGCGAGAGTGAGACAGCCAAAGTGGATTGGATGGACTCACCTACGGTACATGCCCTACCGATGCTTCTTTCAAACCGGTCAATGCTATTGCTACCCGAATGCGTCCCACATGGCAGGGTTGGCTACTGCCATCTCTCGAGGGGCGAGTTGAACAAACACTCTAAATTCTGGTCTAGCTAGGGGGTTGTTCGGCAGAACTAAAAAATAAGCAAAATATTATTCCGGCTGATTGTTGTGAGAGAAAATCTTGTCTGGAAACACTGTTCACGTGAACAGTGATTTCGTGAGTGGACTGGCCAGCCAGCCACCAGCCACCAGTGCCAACAGTTGTGAATTATATGAGGCTTACACTAATTAATGGGGGTGTTATTAATTAGTGGCTCTGGCTCAAACCCTAACCAAGGCGGCCACTTGTCTTAATCAAAAGTAGGACCACAAAGGCATGCCCACTTGGCTGCGGTGGGCCCGGCGCTGTCTGCAGTCCAGGTTCAGCTGACGGCTCCACCGTGACGTCAGCGTCACCGCCGTTTTGCCAAAAATAGTAGCCTATATGCAAGTTTCAAAGTGGATTGGCGCTTTGTGCGCTCCTCCTAACGTCCTCGCCGTATATCTGGCCGACGTCTTCCATTATTCTGATCTCAGCTCCGTGTTTAGTTTGAACTTTGAAGAGCTAGCTCCGTGTTGATGCATATATAAAAATATTCATCATATTACTATATTCAGAAGGACACAAGTTTGTAAATTAGCTAGTTGCCCACTGGTTCAGATCATGCATTAACCATCTTAGCAAGTTGACAGTTTTTTTAATCTTTCGAGAAAGTCGACAGTGGTTTTTTCTAAACAATGCGTGGCTGGTTTTGGTTGGAATAAACTACGCAGGGTATCCACGCTCAAATAAAGCCGGAGGCAGCGGTGGCGGCGAAGGTCAGCGTAATCATCCTTCAACGGTCAACAATAGTAGTGGCAGCAGCAGCGGCGGCCGGAAGATGAAGCCGTCGTCCGAGTTCAACTTCACCGGCGGGGCACAGCAGGGCGGCACCGCGGGCCACCACCTCTCGCGGATCTCCGAGGACGGCGCCAGCTTCCCAGCCAACCTGATGGGCGGCGACCGCACGGCGGGCCACGGCTCTGGCGAGAGTAGCAGCGGTGGTGCCATGGCGGCGCGCTCGTACTCCGGCTCCGGCGGGTTTTCCATCGTCGGCCCGTGGGAAGAGTCCAGGGACATCATTACCACCCTCGGCGCATACGCCCCTCAGGTATGGAAGACTACACATTTAAGCATACCACATCTATATTCCGGAAAAACAAGCCAAAACACTGTTCCGGTTGATTTGATGTGAGAGAAAAACACTGTTCCAACTGAAAAAAAAAAAACTGAAAAATACGAATTATAAGACAAGTGAACAGGGCCATAGTACGTTGCAAACTTGCAATGCACGCACTAGTTCCTCATTTCTTGCCGCACAATTTTATATATACATTTTTTTAGTGTCACCGGGGGGGATTATTTGCCCACCTGAATATATATTAATGAAGCCCCAGAGCGGCTCGTTTGATGATTACAAATGTGGAGGAGGATTTCCAACAGAGAATATTACAATTTTATATATACATCATGCGTGAATAATGCAGTTTAGCGGCGCCATGGCGGGCACGGCGCTGGAGATGGCGGGCATGGACAGTTACATGCAGCAGCAGGACCAGGTGCCATTCAAAGTGCGCGCCAAGCGCGGGTGCGCCACGCACCCCAGGAGCATCGCCGAGAGGGTGCGTACGTTTGTACTAGCTCATATATATATCCCAAAATACCTCTACGATCAGGGTGGTTTCGCATGCAGCAGCAGCGACTATATTCACCGTGATTTATGTATGGTGCAGGAGAGGAGGACGAGGATCAGCGAGAAGCTCAGGAAGCTGCAGGACCTCGTGCCCAACATGGACAAGGTAATAACTACGAGTTGATCTATAGCTATGAACTATGACGCCACAACTTAATTACATACATTTCCTTGGATAATGAAATAAATTATTCCGGCTTCAACCTCTTTATATTTATACAAGAGGCTAGGCGTCAGAACACTCGGATAGATAGAATGATGACCATTGTGCAAAGCAGTTCTCGCTCCCTTAGGTATAGTTTTGTGTATATACCTGCACGAGGCAGCAATATATAACTATCTTACTGAACACTAAGGCGAATGGATACTTAACTGATCAGTGATCTTGCTTACATGTATCGATGCCACAGCAAACGAGCACCGCGGACATGTTGGACCTTGCAGTTGAGCACATCAAGGGCCTGCAGAGCGAACAGCAGGTAATCTACTACATTCGTGTGCATGTATACAAATATGTTACTGTATGCTTTTTCTAGAGAGAATGCACTGATCTGAAGACGAATGCGTTTCAGTTTCGACTGATCACAAGCGGGTATTATATTCTTGACAGCACACAAATTAAAGGCCATTTAATTTGATATATATCTTTCTTGATCGTCAGGAATTACGTACATACTGACCTTAGCTCCTATCCGCAGGCTCTGAAACACGAGCAGGAGAAGTGCACCTGCTGCCGAAAGCGATAGCGATTCACAAATCACAAGAGGGGACCAAGAGCAGAAATGCGTCCATCTTTAACAGTCGATAGTTGATACCGTCAATGTCCTTGATGAGAGGAATGTACATGGATGAAGCCATCTAAGGATAACGACTTGCACTACTACACAAACTTTACTGGAGGCGGACGTTTTCGGTTTTCCGCGGCGGGCAAAGTCATCCGCCGCGGCCTAGAGGCCACGGTAAATCGTGGCTTAACCGCGGCGGACGGCCTTGCCCGCCGCGGTTAACCGATTTACCGCGGCGGGTGGTGTAACGTGCCCGCCGCGGTAATATATTTTTTACCACGGCGGGCACGTTAGGATGCCCGCTGCGGTTAATCATTTTAAAAAAACAAAAAACCAGGAGCCCGCCGACGAGCCCGTTTCGAGCCCACCAAATGACGGATCCGGGCTTCCCACACCGCAGATCCGTGCCGCTCGGGAGGAGAAGAGGAGTAGCCGCCGGGCCCCAGCGTCTCTCGAGAAGCCGGATGGACACGCCGACGCCATCGCAGCAGGCCACCACCTCGCCAGGTCGCTCGCGGGGACCACGCCGCGCCTCCTCGCGGATCCCGTGCCTCCTTGCGGATCCCGCCATGCTGCGTGGTGGAGGGAGGCCGCCGCCGACGCTGCGCGTCCTCGCCTGGGCGGTGGTGGAGGTCCCAGCGTCGTGGCGTGGTGGATCCCGGCGTCGTGGCCGTGGTGGATCCCGGCGTCGTGGCCGTGGTGGAGATCCCGCCGTGGTGGAGGGAGGCCGCCGCGCCGACGCGTCCTCGCCCGCCGTGGTGGAGGTCCCGGCGTCGTGGCCGTGGTGGATCCCGGCGTCGTGGCCGTGGTGGAGATCCCGCCGTGGTGGAGGGAGGCCGCCCCGAACCGTCTCGCCCGCCGGATCCGGCCATCACAGCGCCGCCACCGACGGATCCGCCTCGAGACGCCATCACCGCCGGATCCGGTCACCGCGCGCCGCCACCGGCCAGATCCGCCTCAGGACGGGCTCGTCGTTGCCGTCCCACGAGCCACCGCGCTCAACGCCCCGCTCGGAAGAGAGAGAGGAGGGAGAGGGAGGGATCGGTGGGAGAGAAGAGAGGGAGGGAGAGCGCCGTGCTGGTGGATATGCAGTGGAAGGAGATGGTGATGGGAGGAGAGAGGCTCGCGACAGGAGAGGAGTGACTGCGGCGCTATCGGTGGAGAGGAGTGAGTGAACTGAAACCCTAAACTCCTAAAGTGCTCATTTTATATGGAGACCAGTTATTGGGCCTCGCCCTGGGCCTGTTGGGCCTCGGGCATTTACCGTGGCGGGCATTATAGGATGCCCGCCACGGTAAATCGATTTACCGTGGCGGGCGTCTTAACACGCCCGCCATGGAAAATACATATTTTACCGTGACGGGCAAAAGTGTCCGCCACGGTAAATAAAAAATGCCCGCAGCGGTAAATTGTGGCATTTATCGCAGCGGCGCGAAAATAGGTGACCACCACAGAGTGCAAAAATGCAACGCTGCGCATAATCTTTTGTGTAGTAGTGTAGATTGTTGGGAGTCCTAATTTTAGTTATTAGCACACGATGGTAGTGCATTCGGCGCAGCCCATGGATGGAGCGTGCATGTGCAATTGTGCGTGCATAGTGTTCTACCATTTCCAAAGCAGTGATGATCCACATATAGCCGTGGTCAACTAGCTAGGCAGTGCGAAAATAGGCAACCCTTCTGTTCTGATACTTTGGTTTCTTCTGTTCTGGTTGATGTTCCGGCTTGAATTATAGATTTCCTTTTAGGATATATCTGAAAACAGTTTTGCTGTTATTATTATTTATACAAGTCGCCTGATTTTACTTTGTGTTCTTAAGAAGAGGACATTGCTTTTATGCAGAAAATGATGTAATTCTAGTTCCGTCTCTACAGTTAAATATGTAATGTTTGACCAAGTTTATATGAAAAAATGTCAATATTTATGACGGAAAATAGATATAGTATAAAACTATATATATTATGTATGGGTAGTGAAATTTAGAATGGTTTGACTCGGTACTATACTTGTACTCTCTTCGTTCCAAATTATAAGTTGCTTTGACTTTTTTGGTTCATCTATTTTTCTATGTATCTAGACATATTATTATATCTAGATGCATAGCAAACTGGATGTACTAAAAAAGTCAAAGCGACTTATAATTTGGAACGGATGTAGTACTTCATAACAGAGGAAACATTTTGTATTAGACCAGTGTGTTGCTTAACTAGATTGTCATTCTAGCCACATCGTGGCGCTCCCAACCGTCGCCCTCACTCTCTCCCACGACACTGCATCGGACCCCCTCCTCTCTCCTAACCGGTGATATTGTCGATGGATGGAGGAGTGGGGACCTGATCATCCCTTCCCCTAGGTTTGTTGATCCTCGTTGATCTAGGGTTTGGTTTCTAGTGTCATGGACGAGGTGGCGGCGATATCGACAATGGTTACTTTAAATTTAGAATAAGGTCTTCTTTCAAAGGATATTAAATCCATCCTCTCTTGAAAACCTTGTTTGACCTCAATGACTTTCAATTTGGCTTTTTCAGTTTGGTGGGCTAGTGAAAAGTTTGGTCTTTGATGTACTCTTATCTTTAGATTGGTCGTTGTTTCTTTGATCTTGGCATTTTGTGAGCTTATCATAAAAAGCGTCGTTGGTTGGCTTTCGATGCGATTTATCCCTCGACTATCTTCTTCTTTTGGTATGTTCTAAAACAAGGTTCGGCATCTCCAACACTTTGTTCTGATAGTGAAGGAGTAAATTTATGTTCTTTGGAAGGTTCCTCTAGCCGATGTTCTTTCAGTGGATATTAAATCTTTTTCACGGGCCATATAAACTTATGATTGGCTTTTTTTATATGGTCTTGAAAACCTTGTTTGACGAGGGTGTCAAAATAAAAAAATAAAACTATAAAGTTATTAATCTCATGATGTCACTTTTCTTTATTGTCTTTTCAGTTTGGTGGGCAGGGGACGATGATAGGAAGAAGATGTCTGATTTGGCCTTTGATGTACTCTTATTTTTTAGAGATTATTTTGTGTCTTGTTGTTTATCTTTTATACTAGTCGTTTGGTTTCCTTGAGATATATCCGATCCGAAGCACTCTTTTGATTGTCTATAAAAAAAGTGACAATACCAAGTTTAGCCGCAAGATTTAAAGAACTAGAAAATAAAAACAAGTGATGGTTTAAGGAGACCAAAGTACAAAACCCAAACAACATGGAGAGCAGTCAGAAAAATGTTACACACCCTAGCACCCACGCCACCATGACTACCACTACTCAGAAAAACACACTAGAACAGAGACGATTTCTCTTGGTGGTGGTCATTTCTTTCCTGTGGTGGTTCGTAATGTATGGGCGCCACCAGAAATAAAACTGTGGGTCCAGACCATGAACCGTAAGTGTAAATTCATTTTAATTGGTTGTTTTCTTAAGTTTACCATCACTAAAAATATCAATTTTTTAAACAACCTCGGATTGAGAAACAACTAAAACGAAAGTTGTAGAACTTGAAAAGTTATGCAACTTTGTAGTTGACAACTTTTTCATTTAAAGTCGTCTTATCAAGGAAAATTATGTTTGAATTTCTTAAATTTGAAATTTGAATTTTTCAAATGACCTCTGATGGAGAAATAACCAAAATGAAAGTTGTAGATCTCAAAAAGTTATACAACTTTATAGTTGACAACTTTTTGATTTGAAATTATCTAGTTGAGGATAATTACGTCTAAATTTCTCACATTTGTAGTAGCGGTGGCCTTAATAAAACATCAGTAAAAATGTATTTATAGTGGTGGTTTTCTTAACAAAACAGCCAATGTAAATCATTTGTAGTGGCGGTTCTCTAGAAGACGTCTGTAAAGTTCGTGATTTCCACTTGCCTTTGATGCTAGGGCGGTGGATAAAAGCGTTAGTAAAAATAGGTTTAAAACCGCCGGTACTAATGTTCTGTGTACCTGCGACAACTAGCGCCAGAACACTTCCTACAACAATTAACTCGTATTTAGCTTATAAGCCATGACTTATCAACCAACGAACAATATTTTTCTCTCACACCAAACTAGACAACCGTACTTTCAGCCATGGTTTATAAGGTAAATCAACCCAAACGAAGAGGGCAATCTCCGTGCCAAATTGCATGATGCGGATGCGTTAAAGCTGCCAAGTTGGAGGTCTGTCAGTTTGCTTGGACTGGGCAGGCTGATGGTTTGCATGCTCTTGGCCTCCTGCGCTGGCGAACCGGTCCAGCGCACCATGCAGCATAGTCATCACCGCACACAACGGTAGAGTTGTTCCACGCGCACACCCTGTGCGCTGTAGTTTCGGATAGAAGTTGTTGGTAAATGGACCGGCACGTGGACCTTCCAGTAGCATTTTGCCGCCCCCCTCAACTCTAAAACCGAAAATAGTTCCTCCTCGCAAACCTGTGCAGTTTTCATGGTGGTTTTTTTTTTTTTCTAATTTAAGAATCATGGTAAATTTTTAAAATGGAAAATCTAATGGGTTAATGAGTAGATTGCATGCTTGAGATGTGATAAAATAACTTTATCTATAATTTTCTATAATTAATTCATAGCTATAGTTTCTCTTATTCAATTGTGGTTATTTATGGTATGCTAATCATTGTGTGCTTGATTATAGTAAAAAATTCATGTTCATTAGATATGTCTAGATAATATATTTATAGATAAATCAAATGAAATTAACTTATACATGATCCGAATCTATAATCTACATAGTGAATACATTATATGGTATGAAATGTATCAAGATATATATTTAGTTTTTCATAAAATTCATAGGTGCAGTTTTTACTATAGCTCAAGGTGGGTTAATTATTATGCTTGACATAAAAATTTCATACTCTTTGG